CAAGGGGAGGAGGATTTTCTTTCACTCCCTCTCTTTTCTTTTTCCTCTCTTTTTTAAGAAGTAAGCTTCAATGCAGGCATTGCAGACTTTGGTGGATACAATAGATATGTATTTCTTTGATGCTAGAAGTCCCTAATACAAAGTAGTTTGTCTCTAAGAAAAAAAAAAAAAAAGCCTGTTCTTTTTTTTTTTTTTTTTATTGGAAAGGAATTCCATTTGCAATGAAATGAGTTTCTGTAATTTCAGAATGTACAAAGGCCACTAGAAAGTGAAAAACCAGGACAAGGTTTCTTCCCACTCGAGGCTGAGCGAAGCGGAAGGCAGGTCTGAATGCCCACCGGACATCTTCCCGCCGAGCAGGAGACCCCGGGCGCAGGGTCTGGCCGGGTGGTGGCCGGGGCTATTGCAGGACTCGGGTCCACCCGAGCGTGCCTACGCGTACACACGCGTGTGCAGGACAATCCCCGCAGCACAGCACGGTCCTGCAAAGCCCCTCTGGTCTGTCTCCTGCCCTGGGCCCCCCTCGCAGGACATCGCCACGGTGCCAGAGCGAGCAGCCCCGGCACCAGGCACCCCTTGGACGTGCGTTTCACTCGCTGTTCGCACGTCAAGTCTCATGAGTTCTGCCACAAAAGTGACTCTAACTGGTTCAGATCCTTCCGGATCTTTTTGTTTCTCACGCTGCCTGTGGCAGGAGTGGGTTTCGGTCTGAGGGACACAAGGCGGCTCCCTGGCGAGCATCCCCCGCCTGGCGCTGTCGCTGCCCAGCACCGCCCCGGTGCCAACCGCCCCACCCGGCTCTGCCTGATCTGCCCAGCCAGGGCTCGGCGAGAGCTGCAGGGCACGTTACCCAAGAGCCGTTGGCCCTCTAACGTCATTTTCTCAGTGAATCCAGAAGAAAAATCCCCAACATTTGCTGGGACAGAGTCACAGACTGGGTCAGCGTAATGCCGTGCTACCTCCCGTGTCCTGGTGCACACGCGTGGGCACACACGTGCAGGAAGGAGCTCGGCACCGGGAGGACACTCGGTTGCAGGTGCGGAGCTGCCGGTGGCAGCCACACGAGTGAACTCCACCTCGGTCCACGGCCCTTTGAAGCCGTGGGAAGTCGTGGTTTGGAAAAACGCGACACTGCAACATGGCTTCCTCTCTCCTCCACGCTGAAGGACGTGTAGAATAGGTAAATTAAAGAAAATAAGACAAGAAAGACAATGCCATCAGTTAAGACCGGGCAGAGCAGAGCGTTTATCAACAGTGAGCCGCTGCCAGCACCCACTGCACCAAGAGGACTCGGCCACGGGGAGCTGAGTTGGGGTGACGGGTGCCCCAGCACCCACTGCTGGGAGCTCCACGGACCGTCCCTCCCCGGTCAGACAAGTTTTCTCCCAAAAACCACCTCTCAGCTTATTTCTTTTTCCTCTTTTTCCTTTTCTTTTTTTCATTTTGTTTTCCTGGCACTGTTTCTTCCTTCGCTGTCTCCTTCCGAAGCGCCTCAAGACGCCGCAGCTGCCCCGACACCCGCAGTCCCGGCGTGGGTCCGACCACTGCTGGGACATCTCTGCGGCTCTGAATCAACGCGCACCCTCTGGCCTCGTGCTCCCGGAGCCTGGAGCATTTTTCTGATTCAACAGTGAGCAAGCAAAGCTTTCAGTCTGCAGCTCCAGTCCGTGAGCTCTGCTGCCTAACAATTATGCCTCCGTAATCGAGCCTTCGGACACAGATGCTAAGCAAACTCAATGCCCACCGCGTTTTATGTCTTCTTTACAGTCACACTCTTGCAGCGTTTGACTGAGGGTTTCCTCAACAAGTCAGTTCATGTAGCCCTGGCTCATGGCCTCCATTGACTTAGTTTTACAGCAACGTTTTCCCTCTCCATCTCTCCGATTACACTTCTCAGCCTGTGCTTGATGAATTTATTGCTGGAGGACATGCGACTGGAGAACCCTCCCTCTAGCCAAGCCCGTTACAGAGTTTAGTGCTGAAACTGCCAAAAGGCACTTTATGGGGCTGATTTCTGCAAGGGTCTAGTAATGATACACTGCGCTACGGGGTGTCCCACCTGAGCCAAGGGTAGGCAGGGCACCTCCAGCCTCCGTGCTGGTCTTGCTCCCTCCCCGCCTTGCAGCTCCAATGGGTCATTTGCTTCCAGTGTCCACCTCACCCAGTGACCCACCATGAAATGGAGAGGCTGCAGAGGAGGGGGCGGCAGCAGGTGACTCTCCATCATCCCCAGAGGACCTTGTTCTGCCAGCGGCACCTTTCAAAGATGATCCTCGAGGAGGAGAATTCCTGCGACGAAGGCCACAGACGGAAAGTCCAGACCTCCTGAGAAAGCAGTTTGTAAACCCCAGGTGAAATATTCTCAAAACCAGAAAGTACTGCCCAGAAGTGTCTTTTCCAGAAGCACGGTGTGCACGCTCAGTGGTCCAGCTCCTACTCGCCTTTCTTCTGGGGAGCGGAGCCATGGCTGCTGTGTTCTGGGACCAGGCGCAGGTGTGTGCAAGGGTAGGAGTTTGGGGTCTCCCCTTCGTGGCTCCAGCCGGGACCTGTACGCTGCCCTGCACGCCTGGCCAGAGGGATGGAGCCCACCACCATGCCCGGAAAGGTGGCTCTGGCCAAGGACCACCCTTGGGGTGTCCTGATGAAAGTCAGGCCTGAGGACTTCAGGTCACTTCACCCAGCGGCATCTGTGCATCCTTCTGGGGGGGAAACACACCCGCTGTGCCTTTCCTAAGTCCCCAGACCAACTGCAAGCGCCGCTGGCCTGGGTGTGCTCAGATCCGCCGATGTCTCGTGTTTGGTCTGCCCAGCGTTACTCGAATTGCGAACACCACAGGAGCCATGCCACCGAGGGAACAAGTAAAAGACACGTGTCTGCGGGGCAGTACGCAGAGTGGGCGACAGGACCTGCTGCTCCCTCGCTGGGCAGACAGAGACACTCATTTTAACCCGCCCTGATCACCAAGCGGGTGGTGTCTCCGTAGCGACTGTAGCTCAGCCCACCTCTGCCCCGCAGCCATCACCTGTGCCCTCGCCGCCTGCGGTCAAACCCTCCTTCGTTTTCTCCTCAGCCAAGGCACTGGATGGCCTCATCCCTTCCTGAGCTCACAGAAGGTGTGTGTGCTCAGGGTGCAGACCCCTCGGCCAGGGGCTCCCGTGGAGTCCCCACGCAACCAGCATCCAGGGACAGAAACGCCCTTTTCAGCTTTGTCACCAGGGCGCAAGCAATCAGGGGGTGCTCAGAAAGGGGCGACACAAAGAAATGCTTCAGAAGGTTCCCTCTGTAAATCACCCATGCTATTATTTGTCTTCAGTTAAAAACGGGTGTGTATCGGCTATTAATTGCTGAAAGATGAAAAGCAGGACTTCTGTCACTAATAAGTTTGTCACAAAGCTTACTTCTGCGTTAGAGACACAGTTTGAAGGACTCTGACCAAGCTCCTTGATGGGCTCCGTGAACATCCCACTGAAATATCACTGAGCCACTGGTGCCTCCGTGGCTTTTGAGGACCTAAATACATCTTCCCTGGAAACTTGGAAGTGATGGCTGCATTTCTATAGGGTGAGAAGATGCCCCTGGAGCTGAAGAGGGATCTTCTCAGCTGGTCAGTGGCCACTGAGGACATGCACTGAGACATGCAGCCAAGCACAAGCCATGAGGCGGAGAGGGAGGAGAGAGAAGAGCATTAACTTAGGAGCTGCCATTTCAGAGAAATGCCTGTACAGCTGGAAGCAAGTATTTGTACTCGAATGTTCGTCTGCAGGAATGCGTCTCAGGTTCAACACCAACAACCCTTCTTCAGCCTTGGGACACGCACAGGCAAGCGCCAGCAGGACCCTTCTGCGCTGCCTGTGCTCCTCTGGGAGGGTGAGGATGGTCAGGTCGGGAGAAAGGAGCCTGCAGCCACATCTGCACCGCAGCAGGGCCAGGGAGCTTCCCCACTGCCCTCAGGAGGAGGGGATGGGGTCATCCTGACGTCCCTCTGTGGCTGCGGTTGGCTGCCCCCCAGCCTGGGGCTGCAGGGAGAAGTCAGCGTTTCTCCTGGCTCCCTGAAGTGGCAGAGATTGCTGTCGCTGCTTAGCGGGTCGTTTGCCCTGCTCTTCGTTAGCCCCAGGAAGCCACACGTCGACGGACATGTCACTGTTAGCGCTCCCTCTCAGAGCGGGAGGGAAGAAACGTGGAACTACGCGGCAAAATTCCCCCCCGGTGCACGTCTGGACTACGGCGGCTTGAAATTGAAACGCCTTCGCTCAAGGAGCACCTTGCCCCCCGGTTTGCCTCGGGCAGCACATGCGGCCGCCTCCCGCTCCATACCGCTCCGTATGTCCGTTTAACAAAAATCATTACCGTGGTATCTCTCGCCCTCCCTCTCAGGGTGGTCATAATTGGGGTTCAGCACACAACCTATTGAGATGTACGTAAAGTGTCAACGATTATTCAGGAATTCCTTCTCGGGTGCTGCCTAGCTTGAAACCAGAGAACTTGTTTCAGTGCTCATTATGATGCCAAATGAACATAAATGAATATTAAGCAGTAAAATGTCACAAAACGGCCCATGTTGTTCAGTTGCCCATGTGTTTGATACCAGCACACAGCACGATCGCGTACAACCGTCAGATAGGATGCTCTATACAGAAATAACAGCAGCCTGAAATACAGCCACAATGAGTGTTAACCTGGTTCAAAGTTGCTTAAAGCTTACTGAATTCTTTGAATCAGTGCACCAGTTTCAAAACACATTTTCGGATGCGTTTCGAGTTCATATTTGTACAATGTTGCTGCTTATGCTTAAGCCACTCTTATAGTAATACAAACAAGCAAGTATTTACAGTGGTGCTTGTGTAAAATTGAGCAGACTGATTTTTATCTTTGCCACCAAAAAAAAAAAAAAAAAAAAAAAAAAAAAAAAAAAAAAAAAAAAAAAA